TGTAAATTTTTCGTTTTAAACTTTTTCTGCATGTATTCAAAAAGCTTTTTCACTAAGTGCGTAACATTTGTTTCACAGTTGGCAGGTAGATGTAAAAATAACTGTAAATATTTTTTGCAGCTTTTGTCGAAGTGCCCTAAAGGAGCTCAAGGGAGTATAAATTTTCAAAACAAAAAAAAAAAAGGAGAAAAGAAAGGAATTCTTTAACTTTTCTTGTAGATACTACAAACGTAATAACTAAGTAATGCAATGAGTATAAAGGAAAGCTATAAAAGGTTCCTGACAAATAAATAAGCTAATGTAAGTTGCACCTAAACAACATGCTGTGCAATAAATCTTTTAGAATAATCTAACGTTTTTAAAACTTCTTTCCTGTTTTTTATAAAATTTATGAAATATATAAAGCGCGGGAATATATTTCTTCGAAAACACACCTAAAACATTGCCTGGAAAAATATTTTTGAATTTTCTTAACGCATTCCAATATTCCAACTTTTCAAAGGACGTCGTTTTACACAACCTATCTATGGGGCACATTTATATGCTATTGACGTGTAATTTTCATAAATGTCAACTTTTAAATGAATACTTGCTCGCATTCCTGGCAATCTGCTTGAAAACGAATATTCAGCCATTTCACGAGTTTGAAAGTTTTCAATTGTTTAAGCCAGGTACAGGTTTTTTTATTAAACCGGCTCTCTCAGTTACAATGTCTGACAAATCAATTTACGGTCATTAATGTGCTCACAAGAAGAAGGCAATTTGTCATTAAAAATGTCCTTTTTTGGTTACAGTCACTGGATAACTTTATTTGATTAATTGCCGTAAGTTATTCCCGAACGTGCGTCAAGTGTATTTTGGAAGTTCAGGGAAAGATGTAAGGTGCACGTAACGTTTATATGAACGTTCAATAAGTTCAACATTCTACCAGAGGTGGAAAAACACCTCATAAAGTGTAAAGACATTTGTAAGTGTGACCAAAAGAGCTCTAATAAAAATGCACGCAACGGGGATCTCTTCTCGAACTTCAGCTTCTTCCTTACAATGTTAGTTGTCAAAGTCTGGAACGCAAATAATAATTCTAACAATGATTAATAAAAGTATACAACTTAACTTTCCAGCTTTTCATATGTAAGGAAACAAAAAGCAGCCAAACAATAGTTTTTTTTCATATTTGAGCAAACTCCGAGCAGCGCAACTTCTAATAGAGTTTTTCGTTAATTTTTTTACCAACACTATCATCAGCATTCTATCCAAATTGCATGAGGCAATATTATAATAATGTATAACGCTAATAAAACTTAAATTGAGAATACGGTTGAGAAGGAAGTGGTAGAGTAAAGAAAAGTTTTTTACTTTTTCTATTTTTTTTTTCTTTTTTAGTTTAACAATAACCGCAAAATGTTGAAAGAACATGGCCAGGAGGAAGGGGTGAAAAATAAATGAAAAGAAAAAAAAAAAATAAAAGATCCGGAAGTTTGTGTTGAACTATTAAGAAAATTACTAAATACGACGACGACAATATCTGTATATAAGATGAAAGCAAAACCATGTCTCGTTTTAATAAACAAAGAAATAAGAAAGAACTCTTAGAACACAAACTTTTTATATCCCACATAGTGGTGCAGACATTACGAACGGCACACACAAAAACATATTTTCATGTATGCAGTTGTTAAGTTATTATTGTAAATGAAAAAAAAAGAAGAAGAAAAATGATAGAGAAAAAGATTACAAAGGTTTTATATTAAACAAAAGGCAAACACACATGCTTTTGCATATTTCATCGTATACAGAATCAGAAAAAAAAGCGATAAGATTTAAGAGAAAATAAGCAAAAACACCTTAAAATTCTTGCAAACGCACTTAAAAGCCTTCAATTAACACATATACGTGTTTGAGCATGAGTGCGTGTGTATCCTTTTGGCTGAACAAGCATATGGTTATGTGTCGTTTAGGGAATCATAAAGTATCTGCTACTACTAGCTACTCAAAAATACAGACAGCATGCATAAACATGCACACAAAACATATAACAATGCACATATCCTCTATAAAAATAACAATTCCGAACTTAAACGGTAAGAATATTCATTCATATTCATATGCTCCTCGCCTCTCTAGTTTGTCACTACTAAAGCAGAGTAGTTCTGATGGCTTGCCGAGGTAACGGAAGGACAGGAACAACAGAAACAACGAGAGAAAAGCAAAAAAACATTTCACCACTAAATAATAAAACAGTAAAAACGAAAAGTTCGAAGAGAAGAAAAGTAAAAGTAATAAAACAAAAACCACAAGGGCACATACGGCAACTACAACACCACGCTTAGCCCGCCATATATAAATGGAGAGGTATACGGGTTGGAAATATATTATGGTTTTCTATAATGCCTTATGAAATACACTCGCAAACTATTGCATATTATGTGCGTATGTGGTGTTAACTTCCCTTGATATTAAAACTTGTACAAATCTAAATATGAAAGCAGAACTGTTGGAAAGTTTTATTTTTAATAAAAAAATTCTTGTTACTCATACGCAACGTATAACGGTACGTAAAATAAATGGCATCACTAACACCACTAAATAATAAAGAACACAACACACTGAAAATTATTATTATTTTCACTTTAAATCGCATTTCCGTTCGCGCATGCGATCCATTTATCCATTTACGGGCCCAATTGCGTACGAATTTTCAACTATTTTAATTCGAAGTGACTACATACTCTTAAGAATCCCACCTAAAATAATTCAGATAAAAGATCCGAATGTTCCGAAAAATGCTTCATTTTTACAATCTAGTCGAACGTCCAAATTTTATATGTGAAATATGTGATTGTAGAAAGAATTGAGGACTCATTGCACTCGGTATCTTTTCAAGAATGGCAAAATATCAAAAATAATATTTTTTGCCCGAAAATATGACGTTTTAAAAATTATAAATTTTGTATTTTTATAAAGAGTTGACGAACTGTTTCATTGAATTTTCCTCCTGGAATCTTGTCAACGAGATTACGCTCGAAAGTAAGCAAATATTATTATATTGTACAACACATCCTATGTATATGTAAAAACAAAAGTTAGTTGAAAGTATTTAAGAGATGGCAATGTGGCTCCTAATCTTAAGCAATTCGTAGTTGTACCTCAATTACGTCATTTGATAGAACAATTACAATGTTGAGAGCAATTTTATGCCACATTTAGATAGACACGTTTCTCCTAAAAAGTGCAACAGCTTGGTATGAGAGCGAATTGATCTAAAGAGATGTCGACGCCTATGGAGAAGCCTTATCACTACTGCTAGCAAAACTAATTCCAATTATATCCGTAGTGTGTTCAATAAGAATACAGAGTCGGAAACTCGGAAAACGATTATTGTGGTATTAAATTGGAAATTTTTTCTCTTCTTTTACGTGCAGGTAAAATCAAAAGCCTAAATACCACCTTTCTTTTTTGCAATCATATCTCTTTTACTTAACAAAAGCATACGAATTTTCTTCTTCTTTTTCTTGTTCCCAAAAAAACTCCCTTGTTTCCTTTTTGAGAGTTCTTTGTGCGAGTCTTTCTCTTTTGTTTTTCTTATCATTTCACCTTTCATCCTAGTTGCATAGGTCTTCACAAAATGCAAATCCCACTTTTTCTTCTTTGTTTTTCTATTGAAACAATTTTCAAAGACTTACTATCTTCAAATTTTTCATTTTTACCATAATGTTTTATTTTAGGCTTAAAGAAACGTTTTGCAAAAAATAGTTCCATAATAATTCTAGCTAAAAATACATTTTTGAATTGTTAGGTTTATAATATGTGCGTTCGAAAACAAATCCACAGATAAATAAGGACAAATAACAATTTCAAGCAGAAGATTTATCATAATAAACTCTATTGATATTTTGATGTTTAAGCAACATAATGCTTGTAGGCCGAATTCCAAGTCTATTATATCAGTCGTGAAAAGAAAAGTGTTCAAAGAAATCTTCGTCGAATCTGATGCTACTCAACATTATTATACACTTTGTGGAAGGTTGCTGCTCGGATACCCGTTTTCAAAGCTCATAACCAACCATGGCAACCTAACTAAATCTTTTCTTTTTATTGCAACAGTCAAGCCGAAATAAAATCAATGTCAAATGTGTGCAAATTTATTCAAAATGTTGTTAATAATTAAGTTGTATCCACCAGCAACGCTAATTTGAAAGATCTTAATATAATTCTCAACTCAGACCAGCACAAAGAAGCACTATGGAGAGCAAAAAACCCAGCATTTTACCAAACAAATTTACATATTATCTAAAAGTTGAAGCGCAGCCAACAAAACTTTTTGACAAACTGAACAGAAGCACATATGCACACGCACTCACAAAACTTTAATTAACTAACTAAAACGCGCATATGTGTATATATGCGCACTATGTATTACGTATGCATATATGGTATAATAACAATTTAAACAAACACACACACAAACAGGTAGGCATATATAAGGATTTACGTTCATTTAAGCACAGAAAAAGCAGCAGCAGGAATACAACATCAACAAAAAACCGCAATTACCAACAGTTAAACTAAACTAGACAACTTACACCAAGACATGCCAGAAAAAAAATTAAATTTTTTTGGATTTAGCAAACACAGAATAACAGAAGAGGAACGGCACTTATATGTAGTATTGGTGCACAACACCCGCAGTTGATTATTGTTTACTAAAACAATTAATATTTATAACAATAACAACGAATCTAATAACATGCATACATACATACTGGCTCCTCAAATTGAATGCCTACTTAGAGGCATTTCCTTTAGCGTTCTGCAATACCTTGTGCGCGTGCTAATAACGAAGCAAATTGGAGTGAAAGACTTTAATCAAAAAATATTTCTTCATAATTGGTTTTTATTTCTGTGTCCTTTTTCTTTGCGAAATATCCCCCTTATAGTCATTCATTTGTACATTTCCCATAAACGACGTCTTCTGCTTCACTTATTTGCACTCACGACAGATTTACGGTCCTGGTGGTGTAAAAGATGAAGACTACGACGATCCTCCAGTTACTCTGTTAAGAGGGCCTCCTGGACCACCTGGTATGCCAGGGAAAGATGGTCGCGATGGACGCGATGGGTTGAAAGGTGAGCCTGGCGAACCGGGTGAACCAGGCTCTTTAGGACCACGCGGCTTAGATGGCCTACCGGGAGAGCCGGGTATCGAGGGACCTCCCGGGTTACCCGGCTATCAAGGACCACCCGGAGAGAAAGGTGATCGTGGCGATATCGGTCCGCCCGGTTTGATGGGCCCGCCCGGTCTACCCGGACCGCCTGGTTATCCTGGTGCCAAAGGTGATAAAGGTGATCGCGGAGATTCAGTGAGTATTCTGTTTGATATATAACAGATTTTTTCTTAAAGAAAAAAAAGAACAATCTCTGATTAGTCCTTTCACTAGAAGTACAGAAAAATGCGTAGACGACAAGATGACGGTATGGCCGACGCTCCACATATGCCCACTATTGAATATGTAAGATGAAAAATGATTTCCTTTTCTAAGTTACTTTAATATTTCAAATAATCGAACGTACACACAAATTTAGCTTTACGGACCGCCTGGACCTCCTGGACCAATGGGACCACCTGGACATCCTGGCACGCCGGGAGAAAGAGGTTTGGACGGTCGCAAAGGTGATCCAGGCGAAAAAGGACAGAAAGGCGACCAAGGGCCCATGGGTTTACCGGTAAGACAAATTCAAATAATTCAAATTTCTTTTTTTCTTAAAACAAACTCGTCCAACCTAAGATATCAAAATTAATCATTGAACTTTTTGCCAACATACGACAGACGATATTTTTTGTAAAACGCTTACCATGAGTGCAGGCGGAGACTTTTTTGTACCTACTATAACTTTGAGAAAAATTAAATTTTTATAAAATATTTAAAAATTAAAAATTTTGAAATTTCTAAAAAATGAATGAATGCATGCAGGTCTAAAAATGATAGTTTAATTAAAATTTAACAACAAATATGACGGCTTAGCAAGTTTGCTTATTAAACCCAACATATCGAAAAATTATTATGGAAATTTTTGAATCCCTTTCTCACGGATTTAGAGAGCGGATTTGCTCCTTACACTGAAACTGCTTTATATTGTTTTTTTTTATGTATTTTCTACTCAGGGTCCTATGGGCATGCGTGGAGACTCCGGGCCAGCAGGACCAGCAGGCAAAGCTGGCTTACCTGTAAGTAGTTTATTTTCTCTTTCAACGAATCAAAAGTATATTCTTTTAAAGCTTTCAAGTAATTAACGACACTTTGGCTTAATAAGCGTTAATAACGAACATTTGTTATATTTTGTTAGAAGTTTTTAATAAAACATAACAACATAACATTTTATGCTATATTGTGACTAAAAATAAATTCAAACAAATTTTCCATTTTTTTTTTTTTTTGTTTTTTCTCTCCTTCTTTTTTGTTGACAGGTGTGGGGCTACTAATCCTAAAAATAAATTGAACCTAAAACACTAAACTGAATTTTAATCGCTACACAAACACATAAATACAAAATGTAAAAATCCTTAATAACATGTACACATGCAGAAAGGAGAGGAGGAAAATGTAAAACATTAAAAAAAAACCGCAAAAGCTATCAAAATTCTACGGAAAAAATTCCCCTAACTGACAACAACAACGTGTATGTGCAATTGTATATGCGAAATGAGATACAAGCTGAACTTGTTTCTCACAATGTATCCCCGACCGTTTGATATCATTCTAAAAAAGAATATGGTTTAAAAAAATAACTGCTGTAATTATTTTATTTTAACAAAAAAAAACAAAAAAAAAAAAATTAATTTTAAACTTTCTGAAAACAAATGTGGACATTTTGCTGACATTTCCAGGCAAAATGCATGCGAGCACCAGCCAAGTAAAAGAGGGGGAAAAACTAATATACAAAATATTCACTTAAATAAACCGTTCTATGTAGATGTTCTGAAAGAAAAGGAATAGTGAGAGGAGACTTCATCGCCGATAGAGACCTACTTTATATACGAGCTATAAAACAGAATATTTTCAACGATTGACAATATCGCCAACCTACCGCCTAACTTTCATTCCATCGACTTGCGTTGGGGCAAGTTGAGTCTACTTTTAAGTTCAAACTGCGCCAAATAATTAACAAAACAATAGAAATCAATAGAAAATTAATTCAAATATTTTTGCTTTTAAGGCATACGTGGTTAAGAAGCACGTGCAGCTAATTAAACACAATTTTGTAAAGAAATTCCAACGAGTTCGGCAGCAATATATTCACGAAGTCAGATTGCAGTTAGCTTCCAAATAGAAATGGAACAAATTGAAATAGCCCAGCACGTGCACGTGTACGAGTGCCGACTTTCTCGCAAACACATTTGCCTCTTAAATCGGGGAACACTTTGTTACACTTGGCAGGTCAGCGGTCACCGCCTGTAATATTTCTTTCCATTAGTGTTTGCAAAAATTTTTAAATCGTAGACTTAGTCTTGCTGCTGCACTCATAAGAGGATAAGCCTGCGCGAAATTCACCAAAAATTCTTGCACGAATTTTGGCGAACCAGACACAACAAATTTTGGCCGGTAAGGAGCTAAGCAAACGATAGAAAAATGGTAATCATCGTCTTCCGCGTGCCATTTTCAATAAAAGTTTTGGATAATTTATAAATATTGTTGAAAAGAAAAAAAGAGCAAAAGAGAGGAAGCAAAACCGCTGTTTAAAAAAATTGCGCACGGTAGTGTGTTCTGAAAATTTGATCGAGATCAATTATTGCTGGCCTTCATTTGCTAAGTCGCACTGATTCCATTCGAAACGTTTAACAAAAAGCTAATGGTTTTACGAACGTCTTCTTTTAAAAGACTACTAAACGAAATGAAAAGCAAACAAGAATAAAAGGTATTGAAATCGAAGTAGTATACGTGCATTTAACGTAACGTAAGACAATAATAACATGAACATAGAATTGCTGCCGAATTGTTTCGAACAAAACAAATTTCTAGAATGCTTTTTATTATAGATTCGTTCATCTGATGTATTATTTTGGCATATGAAAGCCTTCCTTAGCACAAACGCAAAACACATGTAATCCTTAAAAAAATCTTCAATGTTTTACGAAATTTAATTAAGACGACACTTCTCACAAGTGACTCCAATTACTTTTAGACGTTCCTTTTACAATGCGAACTTTCGCTTTTACTTAGATAAGAGCGTCATCTGCAGTGGACGCGCTAATGAGCACTCTCAGTGTCAGGCGGACACATCATAAAGAGGCATGATTGAAACTGGTTAGAATGTTAGACGAATGTGAATGTGTCGAATATGTAAAAACTGGTGAATAGCACAACCTCCCTGATGTAAAATCTTCTTTCAATTTAGAACAAAAATTACAGCCATATTCTGATATTATGGTCATTACTGATTAGACAGAAAACGACTACTACCTGGAGTTATAGTCCCACTAAATCTATTCACTATCAGATTTTTTGTAAAACTGAAAACGTTTCTGCGAAATTTATTCGGAATACGTCTGCACATTGAAAATTTTTACTTCGCAAAAACAAAAAAAAAAAAAGAAACAACGGACAGTGAAAAGAGCTCGTAAAAGATTGCTTCTTGCAAACGGTTACACTTGCATTTGTTTTCTTTCGTTTCGAACCACTTTCGAGTCCATCGCAACGCTTGAATCAATCCGGCATTAAGGGTTCCTAACTGCTTTACTCGATATGCAAAGAGAGCAGCGCAAGGAATGCTTATTCCTATTGAAAATACATTTGCTTAACGGAATAACGCATTTTGCTTCACAAATAGTGTAATATATTTAGTTAACCCTTCAATTTTCATCCAATGCTAGGTAAAATATAACTCGAGAAGAAAATATTAGAGGAGGCATTTAAAAAGATATATCTTTAGGTACCGTCCATGGGCTTTGACTCAATAAAAAAAAATGTATTAGAAAGAAATTAATAAATAAGAAAATGCAAATAAATAATCAGCAAAAGCTTAACAAAAGGGAAAAATGAAATAAATAAAAATATAATAAAAAGCGAAACGGAGACAGATTCTCTCTAACTTTAATGGAATATAATATGAAAGCAAGTGTGCTTTTTAAACCTCATCAACAGTAAAATGAAGTAAAATTATACAATAAATTAATAATGAAATTTATAAAAAAAATCTTCCAAATGATTAGTTAGGCATTTTTAGTAATAGTTACATAAAACTAAAGTTATTTACCTATATATAAAGATATTATAATAAATTTTATTTAAAGACCCTTTGAATATAATTAAAATCTATGAAATATAAATAATTTACAAAACAAATAAACCAATACAAACAAATAACAGTCATGCACAAACAAGCTACAACCAAATTAATAAATGGGTTTCATGTAATCAACATTTCATTGTGTAAACACAACTGACACTTTATATAAAATAAAGAAGAAAATAATAAATTTATTTAAAACTAAAACGAAAAAAAGGAAAATAAAACAAAAATAAATAAATAAATAAGTATAAAAATTATTTACCCAAAAACTATTAAGCATTAATTATAAAATGACATAAAATATATATAAAACAGTAAATAATAAATAGAAAAAAAAAGTTGTACATTTTGTAATATTTAAACAACAATAACAACAACCAACATCAACAAAAAAAAAAAAAAAAAAAACGGTAGTTATGCTTTTTGTATAAAATCCCGGAATAAATACGAAATACGAATGCAAAAATGAAGCATATGTGTGAGGAATAATGTTTTTGATGTCAATTTTGTTCAATTAAACCGAAAACTTTAACAAAAAATTTTTATTGTAAATGTATGTGTAAAGCATGTCAATTTCCGTTTTATATGCAGCCCTAGTATGCTAATCCCACTTACAATATGTGTAAATAATTTTTACAATTTGTTTACATATTTGAACACAGACACACAAAAAACTCCTATTTATGTATATTCAAGTTTATGATATAACATAAGTACGCATAAATTTTAAATTATTTCTTTATTTCAACTAAAACTTTTATTCTTAGCTTTAACTTACTACTGCGCGACCGCTTCCCCTTCGACAAACTCATCGCGCAACTTCCCCCTCCCATTGGATCTGACCCTCCTCAGCGCAATCGATCTGCTAGGCTTAGTTATAGTTATAATTTATATAAAACACGTAACAATAAGGATTTAAAATAAAATATTTTTTATTAAATTTCTAAACTAAAGTTTCCTTCCCTCTTCTCTCTTCCCTCTTCCCTCTTCACGTTTTCCTGTGCTATATACTTGTATTATGCTTAGGGAGATCTACAGTTTTCACAAAACAACTGCAATCGCTATGCGAAGTAAAGCGCGTTCGCATTTCAACTCTATAGCATTGTATTCTTTAAAGCTTTTCCTCTCAAGTTGGCCAAATAAATAAGAAGCTGATGTCTACATATGACCGAAAACCTTGAACTGAATAAGTATTCAGGCTAATTACCATAGAGCTATTTGCTATTTGCAAGGTGTTTCACTTCTTTAAACAAGCTGACGCTTTCAAATAAAACAGTGGAAAGAGAGCTGCTTCTGTTAACTGCTCACATTTCAATAAGCAAATAAGCAAATTGAAAATAATTTTCACCGATCATACATACGCGACGCTCAAAGTGCGATTTTTACTATTAGCTGCCATCAGACGATAGTTAAACCCTCCAAAATGCTAGCAATGAAAAGCTGTGGGGGGTGAATAGTTAAACGAATCCTTAGAAACGTTGAACAGAAACTTTTCTCGAAAGCTTATTATTATTTTTTTCAAACGACAACATAGCTACAATTTTAATGCGAATCAATGTCACATCAATGTAGGCTCATTCGTTACAGTTATTTCAATTTTTAATTAGTTGCGCGAAAATTCAGCATATGTTTGTTATTGATATGTGCTGTCAAAAAGTCATATGTCACCTAGTTGCAGCCTTTTATATGACGTCTTCGCAAGTTAGCAATAATCGAGCATCAGATCGACAGATGTAGAATAAAAATAATTTTCGTCAATTTCCGCCAGTTCAGTTAACGCTTGGCAAATGCAGGCAAATTGAAGTAAGGAATATTTTAATTCATTAAAAATTTGCGATTGTTTTGAGATCAACTGTAAATTTGTTACTTAAGTAAAACAACTAAAAATACAAACTAATCTAATATCAAATTTCTACTAATAAAATAATTATTAAAAATATATGTATCTAACTATTATATGATATTACTATTAATAAATACTATTGTATTACGAAAATATACAATTCGGCTTATATTCAATTCTTATTGACTTTGAAACACTTTACGTTCAAATTTCCAAAGCATTCTAGTTCTCATTTAAAGCAGAAACGAAACGTATATATATTATATTCATGTGACAGTTCCTTAAATTTATCTTAAATGCATTCAAAATATTTTATCCAAAAAAACCAAAAATTTCTTGCTCTTTTGCTGTATATATATACATGTATATACGAATGTGTGCATGCATGAGTATACAATAAATAAATTTACGAAAAATTCTGGATATAAATATAATGTATATGTATGTATGAAAGCATATGTAATTATCTAATGGAATTGCATAAAAGCCGTTAAAAAAAAAAAAAAAAGAAGCCAACTATTCATACATGTATAATAAAGAAGCAAATAAAATTGTATACCACACTCCCCGCTCAGTATGATCACTGTCCTAGTATGCAGCGTTAAATTTACTGTAAAAATGTATTTCATTAATTTGTTGTATATGCAAACGAGAGTTCATTACATGCCCTCTTTACCAATGATAATCATTTCATTTGAAATATAGTTTAAATGCTATCTTTTCTCTCTTTCTTTTTATTTCTTCTTTCATTCTTGTCGTTCTTGTGCATTTTTATCTAATAAAATAACGAGTTTTTTTACGAAAATGAACAATGAAAATGTTAATTATGATATGCTTCTTCTTTTTTACTATGATGCGGGGCTAAGTGAAATTTCAATGAACTTAAAGTTGAGCTTAAAAGACGAAATGCGTAGAAAATTGAAACACGGGATTTTTATCATCATCTCATCAAGGACTAATGACTAAGCAAAGTATGTCAGTGTAACCGTCACTCGCCAATTAAAACTCTAGGCCTACGTGCTGAATAAATTCTTTTTAACGTCGCATTGAACGTTTTGATGCAGTACGCAACATGTCGTATGATTGATACGTAATTGTATGCAAAACTTTCGTTGCTTTCGATTTTTCATACACGTACCATCGCGGGGGGGGTCTATTGAATTCATTTAATCCGTTCGTCTTAATTCCTAAAATTCATTTATGAATATTTCAAATATTCAATAGGAAAGCGGAGCTCAATTTAGATATGCATACAATAGCCGGAAAACGCAACAAATTTCTGGAAAATCGGAATACAATTTCGACAATCGCTGTCATATTGTAGATACGAGGCCAGAGGCTTTCTTCAGATCAGCAAAAATATTTTGTGTAAAATTAAAATCATACGATTACTGAGAAAGCTAACAATTGACAAAGAGTTTGTGGTTTGCATAATTCAGGTAACGGATTAACTATTTCGCCTAGCAAATGGTCAACGACCGACCGAATATATATATGCATAATAGGCATACATTCATGTGCATTATACAATACCCGATCGCAGAGCTGGAATCTTAAACGGAAGTACTTGTGTGAATCTATCAAAGCACAGTCACCACACGTCACAATTTTGTCGACAACTTACTACAAAGGATGGCACAGCGATTTTAACCGCACAATTTATATATTGATAAGTGGGTTTGCTATATATCTACTGGAGGCAGTAGAAATTCGGGTGAAGATAAATATCCAGTTCCTAATTTTCTTTTAACGCGATTATGAACTAATAACGCAACTGTGTCCGTTCTTAATAACATCCTTCTTTCTGATAATATGCGAAACCCATTCTTTCTGCACTCGAGAGAAAAAGTTGGATCTATGTTGTTCAATGTTTTTAAGGTGTTTTTTAACGATCACCAAATTCTCCCAAATAGTGCTTAAAAGAAACCGCTAATTATCCTTCAGAAAGATTTTTCACACTGCTTTGTCTTTGTAAAAATAATGGGAACGGAATGATGATAGGCGATCTGTTATGGTCGATTATGGCCGTATAAAATGAAGAAAATTTCAATAGCTCGAGTCTTGTAGAGAATATAAACCAAAAATGCAGAGACTTCTCTGCTTAACAACTCGACAGGAGGCCCGGCCATTAAATAATTGGTTCTACTCAATTCAACTTGAAGCAAAAGATTGAACCTTTATACTAGTAAGCTTAATACTAGGAAGTTCTTCCTTTTGCAACAAATAACGATTAACATTTAGAGTGCGGCTAATCACTCAAAACTCGTAGCAAATTTAAAAAAGAATGAATTCCAATATCTTTTAAGGAAAAAGACACGTCTCAGGACATTCCTCGAAATGCTTTTTATTTATTTAAAAGTTGTTTTTTAATTTGTTTAATTTCCTTGGTTGAGTAATTTTTACTATTTTGCTTGCCTTGCTTTAACTAACTCGTTTTACTAACTTTAAAAATACCATTTTTTTCGAAATTTTTGTTTTTCTTTTATTCTTAAGCTATTATTTATTTACTTTTATAATTTGCTTGGACTTTTTTTTTTCTCTTTATTTCATTTAATTTGTTCTTATAATAAGGGACCGCCTGGCTTAGATGGCATGAAGGTAAGAAAACTAACTTTACATGAATTTAACAAAATGTAATAAATTTCTATTGAAAGGGTGCTCAAGGCGAAACCGGGCAGAAAGGGGAGCGGGGTGATCCGGGGTTGCCGGTAAGTTTAAGAAATAGAAACAAGAATTTCTTTTAGACGCTTTGTTTCAAGTAATGCATGTTTATTAAATAAGGTCTCATAAAAATTTGTTGTTTTCTCTTCTCGTTCTCTGTTTTCTCTACAACACTCTCTGTACTATGACTTTGGTTGGCTTACTAACTTTTTACTATAACATATGCTGCACTTTTGTTTTATGTCGATTTGGAATTCCTATGCATTTATAACGGTATGCAAGGGTACGGACGGCATTCCCGGCCAAGAGGGACCTAGAGGTGAGAAGGGTTCTCGCGGCGATGCAGGGCCACCCGGCAAACGAGGCCGCAAGGGCGATAGAGGCGATAAAGGCGAACAAGGTGTCCCAGGTTTAGACGCTCCATGTCCTTTAGGTTCCGATGGTCTGCCTTTACCGGGCTGTGGCTGGCGACCTCCAAAGGTTAGCATGTTTTAAGGGTAGAAAATTGAATATAGAAACAATATTTGGTATACGGGC